CAATGGCAGCACTGGCCAGCTCAGAGCTAGTCAAGTGCCACCCACTGTGCCTGGCACAAAGTAGGGTTGACCAACCTTAATCTTATCCTGCCCCACCAACCCCCACCCCCTCCAAAACAAGCAGTTGCCTGGGCACGTTGTCATTGTCGCAGGTAGACCTGGAGAGAACTGAGACATAGAGTGAAAAAAGGAGGGGCTGGAGGGCAGAAGGGCCCAGGGCTCAGGGCGGGGATGGGTTTCAAAACACAGGGAGTCGAAGGCTGGCCGGTTAGCTCACTTGGGAAAGTGCGGTGTTATAACACCAAGGTCAAGGGTTCAGATCCTCACACCGGCCAGCTGCCAAAAATGAAAAAGTCAGGGAAGGGAGTGGAACTGGAGGAAATGAGGAAATCCTGGGAATGGACGTGAGCAGCACACACAGGGCTTTGGAGACTGGGAGAGCAAAGGCCAGGACGCTTGCACACCCATCCAATGTCATCCTCCTGGACACTTGGGTCACATGCCTCTCAACAAGTGAGAGTGGCACTACCACAGGCTCAATGCCACATCATCACTTATAATCACTGCCATGTATGGAGCACTTGTTGTGTATCAAGCCCTCTAAGAGCTTAGTCACCAAGACGCCCCCCTCACATGGATATGTATCAATGATCACCCCAGAATCTGCCACTAGCTGGGGACCCTCATAGAGCTTCACTCTGTCTGGGATAGGGATATCCATTAGTGCTAGGGTGCCAGTGGGCACTGTGTCACCATGCCCAGGGCCCTGCTTATCCCCACATAACCCTCTCAGCAACCCCATTCAACATGCACAATTATTACCCCTGTCTGGAGAGGACCAGGCTGAGGCTTGGCGAGGTTGGGCCACTTGCCTTTAGCAGCTGCCGTTCATCGAGCACACCCTCTGTGCCCCACAGGTATGTCACTTGCTCTTGACCGACAGAACACAGCACCAGTGTCACAGTGTGACTTCTGAGGCAAGGTCATACAAAAGCCCCGGAGCTCCCAGCTGGGTCTCGGAATGCTTGCTCCCAGACATTCTCCATGCTGGGAGAAACCAGCCTGACCGCCCGCATGGGGAGGACCCACCTTGGATGCCCACCCAGTCATGCCCAGCTGACTCCAGCCCCAGTGGGCATCGACTGAACCTTCCTGGAGGAACTCAAGCAAGGACCACCCAGCTGAGCCCCATCAACCCATCAAACCATAAGATAATAATAAAGGTTAGTTTAAGCCACTAGCGTTTGGGTGATGTCCTACTTATCAGCAGAGAACTGGAACACTACTCACGAGAGCCCCATGAAGTAGAGGCATGGGCTATGCCCATTTTACAGCTGAGTGTGCTGAGGCATGGAGTGGAGGTGATTTGGCCAAGGCCCACAGCTGCCAAGGGTCAGAGTCAGGATCTGAACCCAAGCTGTCCGATTTCAGAGTCCACACCCTCACCCTGCACCCAACACACTGCCACAGCAGTCCAGCAGTGAGCGTCAGGGTGGGATTCGAACCCAGGCTGCAGACTCTTAACCATGGGGACCTCAACATCTTGCAAAGGTGTCCCTTTCCAGAGCCCTTGAGCCCCCCGTGTCCCCACAGCCTTGTCTTCTTCCCCACTGGACCGGAAGACAGAGGTTGGCACTTGCTCCCCTGGGAACTGGTCTCCTCTCCACTGCCTGGGGTGGGAGCAGGGGAGGCTCTGGAGCTGGAATTTTGACAAATGGCCTAACAAATATTAAGCAAGAGAGATGACGCGGTGCAGTCCTGGAGAGGCCCCACATGTGGGGGATGAAAAACGGGGTGATCCCTCTCGCCTCTGGGAACTGGTCTCCTCTCCACTGCCTGGGGTGGGAGCAGAGGAGGCTCTGGAGCTGGAATTTTGACAAATGGCCTAACAAATATTAAGCAAGAGAGATGATGCGGTGCAGTCCTGGAGAGGCCCCACATGTGGGGGATGAAAAACGGGGTGATCCCTCTCGCCAGCCTCAGTGATAGGGAGAGATGGATCAGCCCTAATAGTTGCCACACGCTGGGCCCCATTTGTTAATAAGTCCAGTGGGAATTTGGTGAAGCAGAGGAACAGGGCAGGAGGCCCCGGCTTCCAGGGAAAGAATGCCTTGCAGCCAACACTGGTGGGCTCACTCCAGATGCTGGCGCTAGAGTGGAAAGCCAGGGGGTTCTGGCAGGAGGGGCCTGGAGGGAAGAGGCGGTTCAGAATCTTGCTTCTTAGGGCTGAGGGACCCAGGGCAAGTGACCCAATCTTTCTGAGCCTCAGTTTCCATGCAGCACAGGGTTATTGTATGTGTCAAGTGTCATATAGGTAGTAGCAATACAGGAAGAGCTGGTGTTGACCGAGCACTCACCACATGCCGAACACTGGGCTCAGCACACCCTTGAATTCTTATTACACCCATCATGTCAGAGAGGCGGGAGCATGGGCTCCAGAGCCAGACTGCCTGGGTTCGAATCCCAGCTCTGCCACTCACAGGCTGGATTACCTCGGGCAGTTACCTGAGTTCTCTGCACCTCCAGGAAGTATCTACCTCATAGCACTGTGGTGATTCCTGATACATCAGTGCCCAGTTGATGTAGGAGATGGTTACACACACACTCAACACTCACAAATGCGAGTGCCCTTCCTTTGTGCCCTTCTCTAGTTCAGGGTGACTGCTTCCCAGGTCAAGGTCTCTGGAACAAACTGCTCCAGGGGTAGGGTTGGGTAAACGGGGCCAGAACCTTAGCTGGTTTCTCTGGGATTGTTCTGCGTACAGGGATCAAGGCTAGTGTTAAGGGGTCAAGGTCTCTTTAAAGCAAATGCCTTTGACTTCAAGGGGATGGAGTCAAACAGAGTGTGGGGAGGGGCAAAGATGCAACAGGAGTCCCCACAGTCTGAAGTGGGGTCTTTCATAACCATACCCCCCAGCTCCGTTCCAACCAGCCTTCCCCAGGTACCCTCTCGCCTGAGTCTTTGCACCTGCCACCCCCCACCTAGTGTACTGTCTTATTCCCTCCTCTCCCATATGCCTGGCAAAATTCTTCCTGGGGACCCTCCCCACCAGAAGCTGGGTCAGTGGCTCTTCCTCTGTGCTCCCACAACTGTCTGTCCCCCGCCCCCCATCACGGCATGGTTCAGAGTACAGCCCGTTCGCTTGTCTCAAGCCCCTGTTACAACCAACACGTATAGCCAGCGCCTAGAAGAATGGCTGTCCTGAGTAAGTGCTTGGTAAATATGTGTTCAATGACTGAATGGATAAATGGTCCCCAGCCACCAGGCCTGGACCTGGACACCTGGTGTCATTGTCTTTCTAGCAGGCACTCTCTCTTCTGATAACAGCCCACTCCACATCACCACCAATTTTCCATTGGGGGACCTCTCCCTCTCTCTCCATCCAAGGGTTTGGGTGGGACGAACTCCATTCTTGGGACCAGGTGACTCAGGCCAGACCAATTGCAGCATTTCAGTCTGTCCAGCATCTAAATCATTGTTTCGGGGCGGTCACGTGACTTAAGCTAAGCCAATGCAAGTCACAACCAGGATTTTAGCTGGACATATTAGAAAGAAAGCCCATCCCTCTGCAGGTTTTGCTACATTTGTAAGATGTAAGCCTAGAACTGCATGTGGTGACAATCTTTGATACCTATCACTTGGGTAGCAAAGCTGCTTGAGAATGGAGCCAACACAGAGGGAACAAGGACAGGAAAGGAGGAGAGGATGACTGAGTCCCAGATGAAATCACCTGATCAACTGGATCCAGATGTGCCTGAAGCAGACTTTGTGGTAGCTCACCCAGCATCCATTCCACCCACTTACCATTTGAGAGTTTTTGACTCATTCTTAGCTCCAGAGGTGGGCCCAGCTGAGCTGAGCCAGTAAGCTCATGACATTCCCCCACTGCGGTCATGATTAAG